GAAGGATCGCTGGAGCCCAGCAGGTCGAGACTGCGGTGGCCGGGAGCGGTCCACTGCACTCCAGTCTGGGCGACAGAGTGAGACTCCACTCAAAAAAAAAAAAAGAAAGCAGGAAGACAGCCCACAGAATGGAAAAAAATATTTGCCAATTTATCTGACAAAGCCCTAACATCTAGGATCTACAAGGAACTCAAACATGCCAAAAGGAAAAAAACAAACAGCCCCATTAAAAAGTGGGCAAATGGGCCAGGTGTGGTGGCTCACACCTATAATCCCAGCACTTTGGGAAGCTAAGGTAAGAGGATTGCCTAAGCCCATGGGTTCGAAACCAGCCGGGGCAAACTGGTGAGACCTCATCTCTACAATAAATCAAAAAATTAGTTGGGCGCAGTGGCACATGCCTGTAGTTCCAGCCACATGGAAGGCTGAGGTGGAAGGATTACCCGAGCCCAGCAGGCTGAGGCTGTGGTGACTGTGAGCAGTGTGTCACTGAACTCCAGCCTGTGACTGGGTGACAGAGTTAAGACGCCAACTCTAAAAAAAAAAAAGTAGGCAATAGACGCTTCTCAAAAGAAGGTATATAAGCAGCCAACAGAAACATGAAAAAGTGCTCAGCCTCATTAATCATCAGAGAAATGCAAATCAAAACCACATTGGGATACCACCAAACCTCAGTAAAAATGACCATCATTAATAAAAGAAACAACAACAGATGCTGGCGAGGATGTGGAGAAAAAGGAACGCTTCTACAATGCTGGTGGGATGCAAACTAAAACCAGTGTAACCTCTTTGGAATACAGTGTGGTGATTTCTAAAAGAACTAGAAATTGACCTTCCATATGACACAGCAATTCCCTTATTGGGAATATACCCAGAGGAACTCAAATCATTCTACAAAAAAGACACCTGCACACGCATGTTTGCTGCAGCTCTATTCACAATAACAAAAACATGGAATCAACTGTGCTACCCACTGAAGCTAGACTGGATAAAAAAAAAAAACTACGGTACATATACACAATGGATTATTATGCAGCCATAAAGAAAGACAAACATATGGACTCTGCAGCAACTCTGATGGATTTAGAGTCGATCATACTAAGTGATCTACCACAGAAACAAAGAACAGAGTACCATATGTTCTCACTCATAAGTGGACCTTGAACAATTATCATAATACTATAAGAAAGGGATTGCAATAGTGGGAAACTGCTGGGGGAGGGGGGCGGGGTTGGCAGCTGAGGGAAACTGCTAGGGGAGGGAGGAGCACACCTCATCAACAAGGGTACCTGCATAATCAAGACTGTATATCTAATCCTGAACTGTACCCACATATTTAAAATAAAATAAATGCAAAAATAATTTTTTAAAAATTAAACATTAAAAAAAGAAGAGGCTGGGTGTGGTGGTTCACACCTATAATCTCAGCACTTTGGGAGGCCGAATCTCAGCACTTTGGGAGGCCGAGGTGAGAGAGGAATGCCTGAACCCACAGGCTCAAGACTAGCCTGGACAACTTGGCGAGACCTCATCTCTACAATAAATCAAAAATTAGCCAGGCATGGTGGCATGTGCCTGTAATTCTAGCTATTTGGAAGCTGAGGCAGAAGGATCGCCTGAGCCCAGCAGGTCGAGGCTCCTGTGGCCATGACCGTTCCACTGCACTCTAGCCTGGGCGACAGAGTGAGACTCTGACTCAAAAAAAAGAAAAAAGGAAAAAAAGGCACCACTGCCACAAGACGCCTAACCTATGATGAAACGTATGCATAAATACTTAGGATACAAACCCAAACCCAGACATCATAAGAGACGTAGAGCTGGCAATCTCTGATGATTCGAGAAATCACTCCAGGCCAGCGAGGAAGTGATGGTGTAAAGGAGGAGGTGGCATTTCTGCTAAGAACTAAAGAGTAAGAGTGCATTTTAGAAGAGGACTTTAAAATGTGATAGAGAAGTCACTCACTCTAGGAGAAGACAGCAAAGGGAAGTGTGTTATGGCCATATGATGGAAGATCCCACACCCATTTATGCATAAATTTTATTTGGAGGTAATGAGAAGACACAGAATGTGAGATACCTGACAGAGACAGAGAGACAGCAGACTCCTCGAATAGTGACATCAGAAGCAAAGGGGAGGCTGGCACATGGGAGTGACAGTGGCAACAGACAGTAAAGAGAGGGGATTTAGGAATGTCCATGACAGGCTGGAAGTAGAGGGTAGATTTCGAGTTTTGTGAGCTGTATGGATAGCGCCGCATTCACAGAAAGACGAACATAAATAGGAGGTGAGGGTCAAGGGGAAGGGTGACCACAGGCAGGACTTGGTGTCAGCGCAAGTGACCATAATGGAAAATAGACTTGGGAGTCAAATTTTTGATCATTGCATCCATAACATCAGGGGGCATGCCATTCCCTGGCTGACATCAGCTCTGAGGCCAAACATTCCCTCGTGACTGACAACCCCAGGCTAGGGTTTTCTAGTGTAGTAACAAGGGGGAATCATGGAAAGAGAGAGGAAAGAATACTCCACTCTACCAGTCGCGTCTCTCCTAAGTCAGCCCACTTGCGTCAGACTGGAGACCTGGCCATCCTGCCTCTAGGGGCTCAGAGATGGGTAACCACAGGGCCAGTTGCCACCCCAGTATAAAACAGCACTAGCAGAGCAAAACAAGGGCTCAGTCACACAGGTCTAAAAAGGCTGAAAGGATTTCATCTTCCATTGTTTTTGTCTGAAATTCTTCCCATGCTAAGTCAAGTCACACAGCCATAGGCTCGTTCTTTAAAGACCAGTTAAACGTTGAACAAGCTGTACATCACATGAAACTTGAGAACAGAGAAAGACACAATTACTCTTCTCGGTATCTTAAAAAAAGGAAAAAAAAATTTAAGTAAGGATAAATAGTAAAAGATTTAAAAAAAGAAGAAGATGACTGGGTTAGGCATTAAGGCACCCACCTGCAATCCCAGCACTTTGACAGGCTGAGGAAGAATCACTTGAGGCCTGTTTGAGACAAACTTGGGCAACATAGTGAGACCTGCTCTGTACGAAAATTTTTTAAATAGCCCAATGTGGTGATGTGTGCCTATATTCCCAGCTACTAGGGAGGGTGAGGCAAGAGAGATCACTAGAGCCCAGGAGTTTGAAGCTTCAGTGAGCTACAATCACACCATAGCACTCTAGCATGGGTGACAGGAAGGAAGAAAAGTAGAGAGGGAGGGAGGGAGAAAGGGAGGAAGGGAAGGAGGGAACACAAAGTACTTTGTGCATATAATATTGTTAAATACTTTGAAGAACTGAAGCTCCCTAGAGGCCCTTTCCTGGACAATTGGAAATATTGTTCTAAATACAACTCCTTTTCTTTGTACCAGCCACCAGAGTACCACACTTATCATATGTAATTCAGAAACATACAAGGATGCTCTTTCACCATTTCTGTCCAATTGTTCTGAAAGTTCTGGCCAATGTACTAAACTATGAATCAAAGAAATAATAAGTTACTAGAATGGTACAACTAAAGAAGAATACTGGCCAGGTTTGGTGGCTCAGCCTGTAATCCTAACACTTTGGGAGGCCAAGGCGAGTAGACTACCTGAGTCTGCGGGTTTGAGACAGCCCAGGCAACTTGGCAAGATCTCACCTCTACAATAAATCAAAAATTAACCAGGTGTGCATGGTAGTGTGCACCTGTAGTTCTGGCTACTTGGAAGGCTAAGGTAGAAGTATCACCGGAGCCCAGCAGGTCAACACGGGGATGGCCATGAGTGTGACACTGCACTCTAGCCTGGGTGACAAAGTGAGACTCCAAGTAAAAAAAAAAACCCCAAAAAACTCATTGACATTTCAAACAAAGAAAATAAAATGTAAAAAAGAATCATATTCATTATAACAATAAAAAATATAGAACACTAATAAATA